CACACACACACACACACACACACACACACACACACACACAGTGAGCAAACAGCTGGGAACGAACAAGGAAGCAAAGGAGGGGAGTGTGAAAAAGATGTTGCAAGAAGCATTTGGAGAGGTCAAGGGAAGGATGATGCTGAGTAAAATTAAGGTAGCAACCTCGAAACCGGGCCAGCCCGCCCAGCTCTCCACTTCCTCCAGCTTGAAGCGGCTGAGAGAAAGGGGCGGCCGTGCATGTTTTACAAAACCTTCAGTACAATCCTCTCTTTCCCGCAGAGCGTACGGATTGGGGGCCAGGGCAAATATACCCCGGGAGATGGTGGGCCTGCCCACTGCTCCCCCCGCACTTGTAATCCATGATTAGAGGGATGGAACCAAAGGCCCTGCTTGCAGGAGACTCGAAGGCTGCGCTCTCCGAAGCGTGAGCTGCTCGCGAGGCCTCCTTCCGAGCAGGTCCGGCTTTGCTCCGGACCAAAGCCGTTTGATTCCTTCCGGTCTTCCGATGGACGTCCCTGATCACAGCCTGTTATAAGAGCCCCTGGGAATCATTCCCATAAAAGGTAACAGGCCCTTCCGCAAAGCAAAGAAGCGAATACAGGTTGGTGCCACCTGGGAAAGGTATTGCTCAGGCATTGGCATCTCGAGCTTGAGTGGCTGTTCTCTAACTCCAAATTGCACAATGTTAGGAAGGAGCAGTGAGCAAGCCCTTCTTCCGGGGAGTGCTGGGCTGTAGTCCAGGGGCAAAGGGCACCCCCTGGCCCCTCAAAAAGGGCGGACAAATCCATGGAGGAGGAGGCCGGCCTCAGCTGCTTGCCAGGATGGCTATGGGACACCTCTAGTGTCAGACACCAGTGGATTTTACTGATTGATTGATTGATAACCTGCCTTCTTACAACAAACTCAAAGCAGCTCACGTCATTCTGCTCCTGCTGGTTTCAGTCTTATCCCCACAGCAACAACCTTGTGAGGTCGATCGAGCTGAGAATCTGGCCCCAATTCACCCATCTGGCTCCATGGCCAAGCAGGCACTAGAGCTTAGATCTCCTGAGTCTGAGACCTGTGCTCCTTTCTAAAGAGGAAGGTCAAGATCTCTTCCTGCTGATGCCAGAGTGCAGGACACGGAATAATCAAGTCAAGCTGTGACAACCCAGATGCGGGCTGGGCATCAGGAAAAGTTTCCCCACTGTCAGAGCAACACGGCAGTGGGACCAGCTGCCTGGAGAGGTGGGGGGCTCTCCCACACTGGAGACGCTCAAAAAGAAACTGGGCAACCCCCTGAGTGGGATGGTGTGAACTGGTGTCCTGCTACAGCCGGGGGTGGACTAGATGGCCTTCAGGGGCCTTTCCAACTCTATTATTCTGTGAGTCACCAGACCAGACTGGCTCTCAGGTTGGTAAGAAACTCACCCCGCGGTTTCCGTCCCTCTAAGTATCTGCAGCTTCCCCCTTGTGCTTGTCCAAGTCTTGGAAAGCGCGCCAAGTTGTCATGCAGCCTGGAAGCACTTGACTGAAAGTCACGCCACCGGCCACCTTCCTCCGTGATGTTTGTTCTGGCACAGAAGAGGGGCACAGCTTGTGCGGCATGGGGGGCTCCGTTCCTGGCGAGGGCCCTCCAGATGTGGGGCGCACTCATGGGAGCTCAGCCTCGGGCCACAGTGCTCAGAACGGAGCCCAGGCATCCGGGCGGGGGGACCCAAGCTCCCCAGACGGATTCATCGCGCATCCGGCCAGATCCAGCGTGCCAGTGCACAGCAGTGGCTGGGGAGCATGGGCAGGAGGGGCTGTTCCCGTCCTGCTGCCGGGCTTCCCGTGGGCGGCTGGTTGGCCACTGCGGAAGCCGGACTGCACGGATCCTGGCTCTGCCCCGGCATGGCTCTTCCCCTCCTGGTCTCTGGGAGCCGAGAGAGTCTCTCTGCTGCCTGGCTGTGTCGTGGTTTGGCGAGGCGCCAGGAAGAGCCGGGCCCGCTCTTCTGCGGCCGCCAGTGCCGTTCCATGGAAGCTGTGACTGGTTCCTCTCCCGTCTTCTGCTTCCTCTCAGGGTGTTCCTGTGTGCCCAAGCGACATGGCCGAGGCTCCGGCCAGCTCCGAAAAGGTGCCTCTTTTCAGGCAGGAAAAGCGAGGCGGCCTCACCTACCGCATCCCGGCCCTACTCTACCTGCCGCCCGAGTCCTCTTTCCTGGCATTTGCGGAAGAGCGCTCCTCGCCCCAAGACAGGGATGCGAAGTTCCTGGTGATGAGACGCGGGCAGAAGGAAGGGACGACTGTCCAGGTAACCCGTGGGGCAGGGAGCCATTATTACTGATTTCATTGGGTGCTTTTGTAAAAAAAATAGATTTTTCTTATTTAGCCCGTTTGAGGTGGATTAAAACAACTAGGGCAAACCAACGCATGTTTGGACAGGAAAAGACAGGACTGTTACTTCCAGCCAGTCCCAGATGGGATGTAGGATTGTGCTTGTCTGATGCTAGACCAAGGGCAGCTTGTGACCGTGATCAGTGGTAGGTTCTGGGTCAACAAAAGAAAGCACCCCCACACCTGTGTGGCTGGAAGACGTGGCTGATGCGAGATGAGCCACGGGGCTTGTCGTTGTCCAGCTGCTCAGGCGTGTCTGACTGGAAGTGATCCTGTGGGCCAGAGCTCGCCACACCGTCTGATCCCGTGCACCTCCTTCGGCGGAACGATGCTCCGGCCCGCACCCTCTTTGATGGAGCCTCGCCACCTCGCTCTTTGGCGACCTGGTTTTCTCTTGCCGCTGAGCATTCCAAGCATTCTGTCTTTTCCGAATGAGCTCGATCGCATGACGTGGCCAAAATACATCTCAGCTTTGTTATCTTGCCGACCGGGGACACGTGTAGCGTCATATGCTTGTTCGTCACCCCCGCTGTCTATGGAAGATGTGGGAGCCTCTGCCAACACCATCGTCTGAATGAGTCAATTCTCCCCTCGTCTAACTTTTTCATTGTCCAGCGTTCACAACCGTAGGTTGCAGCAGGAAAAACGATCACTCGGACCAACCTGCACTTGGTTGCCAAGCCGACGTTCTTGTTTCTCCACACTCAGGTCATGCTTGTCATCGTCATACGACCTGGTGGCTCCCTTGCTTAGGCAGCTCTAAATGAGGATTAGGATTAGGCTCGTTTTCCAAGAATGCTCTGATCAGTGGCTGCTCCTTAGGATGCTTGACCACTGCAACACGATGCTGCAGCGTGTCCCCACCTCTGAGCAGAAATGCTCCCGTTCGGGACCACCAGTTCCCACTGGCAACTACAAACTCCCTGTATGGACTGCAGGCACATTTACTGGGCCTTCGTCACGGTATATTTTTCATCTGGGCTTAAATTTTTGTTGCCCAAGTCTGCATTTTTATAAGAGTGGGTGGATCTTTCTTGTCCTGTTTTTATGACTTGTTGTAAACGCTCCAGAGAACTTCAGCTGTGGCATGATGCAGAAATGAGGAAACCGTAGCTGTGTCCACAAACACCAGTTGTTCCTGCTGAACCCGCTTTGGGGCTTGTGGGTGGCCAGGGTGGGGAAAGATGCTAGCCTAGGGAGGTCTGATCCAGCGCGTCCCGTCTTCTTTTCTGGGAATCCTGCCAGCAATTTTATCCATTTTAACATGCCGCTGGTACTTTGGTGCTGCCAGGTTTTCTTTTCCGGCTGATATTCCGCAGGCTTGGCCTTACTGGGTGGCTTTGTGGGACGTCCGCATTTTAAAATGCGTTTGGTGTTTCTGAACCCAGCATGCCGACAACCCAGCATGTTTCCCAGTGGTCCCGTTGGGCTCCGCTTCTCTCAGCACCTGCCGCCTGCTTTTGCTATTAAGGGGAATGGCAGCTATATGGTGGTTCCTTTGTGTGTGTGTGTTGGGGGGGGTGATTATGGGTTTCCAGGAAGCATTTGGCCACCCTCGCCGTGGCAGGATGCTAGTCGAGGAGAATCCTGGATCTGAACCAACAGGGCTTTATTCCTTATTTATTTAAATCAGTATTTTCAGGCCACCTTTAAGGCTAGAATTTCCTCTCACACATCCCTTAAATACAAATACAAAATGAGTACAGTCATTGCAAAAAGGTTGATCTAATCATCTGATCACCAATCTTTAATAATCTTTAATCATTATTATAATCTGACATGCATTCTATCATTAGGTTCTATCTGGAGTTCTTCTCTGGAGCAATCCTGATCAGAGCAAACAATTCCAATTTTTGGCAAGTTTTGATTAGATTATAAGGTCACATCTCAGATTGCACAAATGTATTTCAACTCCCATCTTCCACATCATTTTGTTAGACACCACCACACTTCAGTTCTTCATTATCTTCAATGTGTATTCATGAAGAATCTCCAGTATGTTCTCTACCTATGTGGCAAAAAAAAGTCTTTAAAATACTGGAAATGCTCTGCTTTTTGGAGCGTAAGGAGTGGAAGGAAAGGCACTCTGGATAACTGACAGCTGATGGACACTTTGCCCTAGTCAAGACCAGGGACTTGAAACCTTGCTTGGGTCTTCTGCTAACACTGAGATTTTGGATCTGGCCCAGTCCAAGCTTCTGCAAGCAGGAGGATATTCTTGTAAGTGGACAGAAAATTTGTGAATCCCAAGTCCAGATATTAGAGTCCCCTACCTAAATGTTCGAAAGGAATGCAACCTCTGTAGAACTTCATTAACAGTACCTGTTAATACAACCTTTCTGATTCATGATCACGCACAAATTCACGCACAAGTCCACATGTTTGTCAGTAATGGGTCATTGCAGCAAAAGTGCCCATGGTTGGTGCAGAGCCACATCAAAACGCAGCTACTGTCCAGCCTCCTTGGGTTCAGTGCCTTTTCTTTCTTTTTCTAAGACACTGAGCTCATCTGCCTCCCACTGGGGGAAATCCCTCTTCCCCAGAATCCCAATTATTTGGCCTTAATTCACCAAGTCTAGCTGCACAATACCTGAGGGTAAAAATCAGTTTTCCCAACCATAGCGTTGTTTCTTGTAAATGCAAAGTGTTTGGGGGCAGCTTGATCTTGAATGGGAAATTAAGACCCCAGAGTTTTACAAAAGACCCGTTCTGGGTGGAGAGAAGACTGGCTTGCTGATGTGGAGTTAGCGGGGTTTGAGTTTGTCAGCTGCCTGTTCGCATGGATTTCAGAGGGACGGACCCAGTCTGGGTCCAACTCTCTGCTCTTTGATTTGGATCCTTGACCATTAAGTAGGTTCCATGCCCATCTCGGTATCTACTGTTTCAGTCTTCTCTTCGGCACATGGCACGTGAAACCTTTGGGTCCACCGCTTTTGTCCCTTCTCTCTGTTCTGCTCTAGTGGGGTCCCCCGGAGCCCCTCTTGACGGCGACGCTGCCCAAGTACCGCACCATGAACCCTTGCCCGGTGTACGAGAGGAAGAGCGGCACGGTTTTCCTCTTCTTCATCTGCGTGTTGGACCATATCACGTCACGGTACCAGATCGCCATGGGCAGGAGCGCCGTCCGGCTGTGCCACGTCTCCAGCCGAGATGGCGGCCGCACCTGGAGCGAGGCCACAGACCTGACCGGGCAGCTGATGGGAGGCAGCTTGCGCAACTGGGCCACCTTCGCGGTGGGGCCGGGCCACGGGGTGCAGCTCCGCTCCGGGCGCCTGGTGGTGCCGGCCTACGCCTACTGCATCCACAGGCGCTGCCTCGGTTGCTTCTCCGTCTGCTTCACGAAGCCGCATTCGTTCACCCTGTACAGTGACGACGGCGGGCGGAACTGGGTGCGGGGCCAGCTCCTGCAGGGCCTGCAGACGACGGAGTGCCAGGTGGCCGAGCTGACCCGCCCGGACAGCCGCCGGAGGTTGTACATCAACGCCCGCAGCCAGAGCCGGGCCCGGTGCCGGGCCGAGGCCTTCAGCTCGGACGACGGGCAGCTCTTTGAGGGGTCCTCCCTCTGCAGGCAGTTGTGCGAGCCGCCCCACGGATGCCAGGGCAGCGTGGTGAGCTTCACCCCACAGCCAGCGCTCTCGGATCCGGGCCGGGAGGAAGAAGCGGCCGAAGCGGCCCACCTGTTGGGCATTCACCCATCCTGCAGCTCCATCAAGAGCGGCTCGTCCTGGCTGATGTTCTCCCATCCCGTGAGCAGGAGCAAGCGGCTGGACCTGGGCATCTACCTGAACCCCTCCCCACTGGAGGAGGGCGGCTGGAAGGCCCCCTGGGTGCTGCAGAGCGGGCCCAGCGGCTACTCGGACCTGGCCGTGTGTGAGGGCGGGGAGTCCCTGGCCTTCGGGTGCCTGTTTGAGTGTGGGGTGACCTCCCCCTATGAAGAGATCGCCTTTCGGCTCTTCACCGACGGCGAACTCCTGGAGAACGTGAGGCTGGACCGGAGCTGTGCGGATTCTCCTCCGGCAGCTCCCCACGCGTAAAGGTGCGAGGACGTTTGCCAGCCAAGGACCGCCATATGGGGTGGGCGCTTTTCAACGCTCTGTTGTACCCCAGAAAATGTATGCATTTCCCAAGCCAATTCATAACAATGAATGGAAGCTGGTAGCAAATGCAGCATTTCAGAGTTGTTATCAATGTTTTCCCAGGGGATTATCCTGAGTTTTCCCCTGGGAAAACATTAACACGAGGGAATACTTGCTCTGCCATTGAAATCCACCCAGGATTGGCTTCACGCAACATGGTCAGTCTTGGCGGCCCGTAAACTGGGGTGGTTGGTCCTGTCGTCTGAATCCAGCTGCATGGCTTGTTACCCACTCTTTCACAAACTACCCCCGGTTCCTAGGCCACCATGGCTGGTTGTGTTGTGTGAACCCAGGGTATACCTCCAAGTAAAACAGAGCTAGTGAGTTGTGACAGCGAAACGGAAGGAGTGGTTGTCAGTATCACACACCTTTGACTGGCTAAAGTTTCTTGGCATGCCAACAGTTTTCATTACCTTCGAAGGGAAGTGCATAGTCTCGTCTTTAATTTTTGTCACATAGTCCAGTAAAAATTTCTACCTAAAATAACACTTAAATTCTGTGATGTGCTTTGTTTTTTCCTTCTACTATTTCAAGCCAAATACATGTGGTATATTGACCCAAACATAAAATAAAATAATAACATAAAATAAAAGGGATACTTTGAAAGTTTTGTTTACAAAATGCAAATAAATATGCAACATTTCATCTGAAATGTTTCCACTGCAAATTACCCAATGCAAATTAGGCTGAGTTGCATAGGAAATTTTTCCAGAAACCCACACAGCTCCCAGGATCCAAGCTGGGCATGAAGAAGGGATGGGAAGGAAGTGAGTTTTGCTGATTCTGTGGTCACCGAGGCCTGGGCTACAGGCTCATTGCAAGAAGGAGGCTATTTATTTATTTATTTATTTATTTAAAACATTTCTATGCCGCCCCATTCGCCGAAGCGAGGCCAAATGGTAAATCACACCTAACGAGATGTATGCACAATAATTTCCTTATATCCATATGAGGTGTGCAGATCTTGTGAGAACTTTTGGGGCCCACTAGAAGCAATCTTACGACTGGAGGTTTCGGAGCCCTGAGCTGTTCCCTCTGGAACCGGGATGCGAAAGGCCTCAGCTGGGTCACACGGCAGCTTTCTCCAGCTTGGACCTCTCCGGATGATTTGGACTACAACTCCCATTGGGTGCAGCTGGCATTGGCCTATGGTTTGGTGATGGGGGTTGTCTTCCGAAACATCAGGACAGCCTCATGTTGGGGAAGGTTGGGCTAGACCAGCATTATCTGCAGAGACAAAAGTCAGAACCATGTGGCTGGGGAGCCACCCCAAGTCCTCTGTTCCTGCATTAAGTTCCATCCATATGTGCCCGCCTGCCCCCTGAGATCTGCGGGAGAGGCCCTTCTCCGGGAGCCCTTCGTGAAAGATATTAGGAGGGTGAGTACCCGGAGCAGGGCCTTCTCTGTGGTGGCGCCCAATCTATGGAATGCGTTCCCCAGAGAGGTCCGCCTGGCACCGTCGTTATTTGCTTTTTGGCACCAGGCCAAGACCTTTTTATTTAAACAATATTTTAATAATTATTAATATTATTTCTTGGTTTTAAAATTTTTAGCCAGGGGGAATCCAGATTTTATATGTATCCCTCTGAGGGACAGGGTTCGCAGCCTGGGAGTGCTCCTCGACCCTGAGCTGTCTCTAGAAGCTCAGGTGACAGCAGCGGCGAGGAGCGCCTACCTTCAGCTTCGGCTGATCCATCAGCTGCGCCCCTACCTGGAGTACGACTGCCTGGTGACAGTGACACACGCGTTGGTGACTTCCCGACTAGACTTCTGTAACGTGCTCTATGTGGGGCTACCCTTGAAGACGGTCTGGATACTTCAATTGATTCAGAATAGAGCTGCCAGGCTGCTGACGGGGACGGGGCGTTATGTTCACATGACTCCAGTCCTCCATCAGCTTCACTGGCTCCCCATTGAAGTCCGGGCCCAATTCAGGGTGTTGGTGATGACCTATAAAGCCCTAAACGGCTTGGGTCCTGGTTACCTGAAGGAGCGCTTGCATACATATATGCCCGCCCGCCCCCTGAGATCTGCGGGAGAGGCCCTTCTCCGGGAGCCCTCCGTGAGAGAAATTAGGAGGGTGGGTACTCAGAGGAGGGCTTTCTCTGCGGTGGCGCCCAATCTATGGAATGCGTTCCCCAGAGAGGTCCGCCTGGCGCCCTCGTTATTTGCTTTTCGGTGCCAGGCCAAGGCCTTTTTATTTAAACGTTATTTTAATTGTTGATTCTATTAATTTTAAATTATTATGCCAGGATGTCTCCAGTATTTTATGCATTTGTACAGATATATATTTATTTATGTGTTGGAAGCCACCCCGAGGCTTATGCAAATGGGGCAGCATGCAAGTATTCCAAATAAATAAATAGTTCACCGCTTGCCCAACTGGCTGCCCAGGGGACACATACAAGCATGGTATGAGCGCAATCGTGCCCTCCTACCCATGTTCCCCAGCAAATGGTGTATGTAGTCCGACAATCCCTGGCCATGGAGGTAGCATCAGGCCACCAGGACCACCAGCCATGGAGAGACTTCTCCTCCATGAATTTGCCCAGTCCTTTTCGAAAGCCATCTCTTTACTTTCTCTTCTTTTCCTTGCTATTTTTTAATTACATTTTACTGCTAATTTTAAGGGTTAATTTTTATTTTTAGTCATGAGCTGCCTTGGGAAGGTTTTTTATACGAGCTATAAATGCTGGGAATAACATGTTTGAAAATGATGTGGAGGTGCTTTCCCAGTTGCTCCTTACCTGTTGTTTCATCCCTGCGGTGGATGGATCAGCCCCAGTTACCACATGTGCTAGATTCTCAGCACGCAGCACCTTAGTGGAAGGAAAAACAGCCATTTTCCAAGAAAGCCAGAATTTTTTCTAACCACAAAATTGTAGGGCAGGAATATGATGGGAAACATCATCTCGTCCAAATCCCTTTCGAACAGGGGAGCTGAACTGTCTCAGTCAGTCAAGACCCATTTTCCATTGCAGAAAAGCTTTTGGCAGCCACAGTTTGGAGGGGTTTTGGGAGGGCATGATGAAGAATAGGGCCAAAGACACCAGCATATGGCAAGCTAAAGTGCTTACTAGTAGTACCTGAACATCAGAAATAGAGCCAGTGTGGCGTAGTGGTTAAGAGCCTGGGACTGGGACTCAGAGGATCCGGGTTTGAGTCCCCGCTCGGCCATGGAGCCAACTGGGTGACTTTGGGCCAGTCACAGACCCTCAGCCCAACCCACCTCACAGGGTTGTTGTTGTGGGGATAAGATGGAGGAGGAGAGAAGATGTAAGCTGCCTTGAGCCCTTTGTAGAAAAAGGCAGGATATAAATTGCAATATTAAATAAATAAATAAATAAATAAATATGTCAGCCTTTCAGAATGAGGAAGAATCCATGCAAAAGCTGGGTAGTCCACAAACTGCAGGCTGGGTTCAGACATCCATATGGACCGAGTATAGGTTGTTGTACTGTGGATTATTTTTAATTTTTATATACTGCCTCGTTCCCATAGACTTCTGGGTGGATTATTCAGTTGCCTGAACCCAGCTGAGAACACAACCAAACCACAAGCCAGAGGTTCTCTTCATGGGTTGTTCACAGTGAGCAAGCCATGGGTTATTAGCACTGAATTCAGATGACGTAATAACCCACCTTTCAACGACAACCCTTGATTCAGCCCATATTCAGTGCTTGAGTGTGGATCCTCTTGCTCTTGGAACCCCATCAGGGTGAATATAGAAAGAGGGAAGGGTGGTGCACCGGGAGACGACCCACCTGGTTCCCAGATCACCTGCGCCATTCATTCTGGTTCTCATGTTCACTTCGCCCAACATTCCAGTGATTGCCCTGGGTTTCAGGGCAAAGAGGCCACCCTACAATATTCATGCTAGCACAGAATTTCACGATAAATGGGAATTTTATTATGTATATTTTAAGTCATAGAGAGGAAATCCATTATTTGTGTAAGCCGTCCTGAGGCTCTGCGAAAGGACAGCATACAAATATTCTAAATAAATAAATAAAAATAAAAAACCCAGTGAATGGATTTAGTGATAAGAGCCTATTCATTTTTATTGTATCTGTAATTAAGAGAAAAAATGGAATCTTGGGATATCATTAACACATAATATATACAATAATCATATTGGTGTCATTGTTTTTTGAAATAAGGGAGGGAGAAGGGGAAATGGGTGAAGAATGGAGGAGAGGAAAAAAGGGGAAAATATTTTAAATTGTAATTGGGTTTGTGGATATGCAGTGGGATGAATTATCACTGTTGTCTATGTTCAAGCAGTTTATCATGCAAAATCATTCATTTTATTTGGCTACTTACCAATGTATCAAGTATTATTTATAATTATGTATTATGTAAAATTGTAGTTATATGTTTATTTATTTATTTATTAAAACATTTTTATGTTTAGATGTGGTAGCGATTATTGCTGATTCTCTGCGAAACTCCCGGCATCTAGTTTTATAAGCAATTTTTGTACAAGGTCCCTCAGTAACTTTTTTTACTCATTCCACATTTTTCTTTCTGTTTCTTTCTCATGGATAAAAAATATTCATGCTAACAGAAAACATCATTAGCTCTTTCTGTAAGAAGTCATGTAAGTCTTAAGTTTCTCTCCTTGCTCTCCTTTCTCTCCAAATCCTAAGGAAAACCAGCCCTACATAGAGAGATTGAGAAGCAGAGAAAATACTCAGTGCTAAAAGTATTCCTCTTTATGGAAGAATCTGGAGTGCTTTTCCTTCCTCACTTTTTCCTTCTTCTCAGGCCTCTTTCTAGATATGCAAAAGAAAAAGCCCCCGGACACCTGCATTTAAAAAAAAAAACCCAACACCATCCCTGCCAGTAGAAACATTGCACAACAAGGAGTGTGCTGGGTGGAGCCTTTCTCCCTGACATGCTAGATTTTTGTCCTGCAGGGCTGCTAATGCACAAGGGGAACCCTTCCAAGAAGGGGTCCCCGACCTGCAGGTGATGCAGCCCACCTGCTTGGGAACCTCCACACCTCCTGTGTGTACCCGCCAGAGAGCAGATCTCAACCTGTGCAACAGTCCAGGAGTTCACAGTGCAATGTAAAGACAGGGCGGCCTTACCTGTAGTGACGCGGGCATCCATGCACGCCGAGATGCACCTCGGCAGACAGGCAGGAGCGCCGGCAGACCCCCCTCTGGCTGGCACAGGTCCGTCTTTTCAGGGGGAAGACCATCTCCTCTCCAGCTTGGGCATGGGAAATTCACAACCGGACAAGTTAAACGCTGTTCCTGTGGCCCTTTCTGCCCCCGTCCACGGCTCTTCAAGCGCCCACCCAGCCCACCATTGTGGCTAATTCAGCATCCGGGGTCCTCAGAGGGAAACAGTGCAGCTTGCGTTTTGCAGCCACTGTTGTCGTCTCCTTGCATTTATATCCTGCTTTTTTTTCCTCTAGGGAAGAGGCCAAGGCCGCTGACAGAGATCCTCACAGCAGCATCCGTGGGAGGGAGGGAGGGAGGCGAGGCTGAGTGGAGTGGCCGAAATTCATGCCCTCAGCCTCATGGCCCGGTGGGGACTAGAAG